GGGTGGCCGTGGCCTGTGCATGTGCCTTCTCTCGTGTTACGGGACGTTGGATGTCTTCAATAAAGCCCCGTCCTGGTTAGAACAAGCTGTGTGTGCTCATGTTGCATTAACACCCTCCCTCTCCTCACCCGCGAGGCACGGCTCACACCCACTTCCCCTGCCCCACGATCTGGTTCGCCTAAGTCAGGGACCCTCGACTCAGACCCCGGTCGGGGTGAGCTGCCCGCCTCAGCCCCTTGACTCTTCAGCTCCCCCCGCATCCCACCTTCGCCACCCCCTAGTCAGAGCCTCCTGTCAGCTCACCGGCTCCCACTCCCGGCCACCTGCTCCCTCGGTGCCCGTCTGAAGCCCTCGATCTGGACCGAGGACGAAGCGCATCCACCCCTGGCCTGGATCCCAGGCCGCCGGTCTTTTCGGGCACGTCATAGTCCCAGCTCTGAACTTCGCCCCAGGTAACCCTGAAGGTGGGGTTTCGGAGCAAAGCAGGTGCTGGCATTACGGCCTGTGTGTTTGTCCTGTTGGCCCCTGTTTAAGGAGGAAAGGGCTGAGACCCCAGAGGACACATCGCTCGTCTGAAACGCTGGTCAGTGCAGCCAGAGGTGGGCCAGATGCACTGTGTGCTCCCCACGGAGCTGCTGCCCAGGAACGAGGGCGGTCACTCTGCATCTCGGACCCCACCACTGGGTCACCTGCGCCAGCAGCCCCTGTGCTGCACGCAGCGTCCAACACTCGTGGCAGGACAGGCCGAGATCTGGGTCCTGACCTGACGTGGGGCACTGGGCCAGGCTGCAGCGCAGCCAGAGCCTCCCACGTGGAGGCGACACCCCGTCTCCCGGCCGCTGGGTGGGTGGGGACCCCGAGCGCCCCCCAGTTTGCTGAGCTGCAGACCCTCCTCCCTCAGCCCGCTCCCCCACCCCGCAGTGGGTCAGGAGGTGAGCCCCGAGTTCTGGGGAGGACACAGTGGGGGCGCCCTCTGATTGTGCTGACTGGGGGCAAGTTTCAGGAGGAGCGGGAGTGGAGAGGAGCCTTGCAGGGGCCGCTTACCCGCCCTGTCCTCGAGCCCAGGGCTGCCCTATTTGCAGGAGGACACTGGGGCTTCCCTCTGTTGGTTATATCCTCCAGGAAGCGTTCGTGGGGCCTCTGGGATGCTTGTGGGACCCCTTGTGGGATGCTCACGGGGTCCCCGTCAAACCAGTTGGGAAATTAGACAAGAAACAAGAGGTCCTGGCTGCCAGCATCCCCTGAGGACAGTGGTTCTCCAGGGCGCTGTGAATGGACACGGGCTCCCTTGTCTTCCCGGGGAGCCTGCGGTCCTGAGACGCCCCGCCAGGGTGTGGGAGCACCTGGGGACGCCGCGCGGGATGCCACCGTGGCGAGCATCGGATCTTCTTGGGCCGAGGAAGAGCGCTGGCCCGGCTAGGAGTGGATGCGAACAGTCGCCAGGCTGAGTGAGGCCAGCAGCGCCGCCAGTACGAGCTGTGCCTGCCCTGCGCTCCTGCGGCCGCTCAGCCAGCCAGGACGGCGTGGGCACGCGGGAGCCCGAGCTTGGTCTGTGTCCTGCTGTCGCCGACCTGAGTGTCTTCATCCCTGTTCAACACGGGGCCTGGTCCCTGGGAAGTCGGCGTCTTTCTCCTCTTGCAGGGCTGTCACTTTTTGCTATTTCTACGTAAAGGGCACAGCTGCCCGTCACAGCCTCACATGAGGGAGGGGGGTGGCCACAGCTCGTCTGAGGGGCCTGACACGTGCCTTGCCCCCTCTGCAGGGACTGGTGGGCAGGGCAGGGCTGGAAGAGACAAACCTATGAACCTTAGCCAGGCCAGGGGTGTAGCACCTGCGTAAACCCTTCCTCAGGATGACGACAAGTAGGCAAGCCAGTACGGTGTCACTGTACCGTCCCCACGTGCCCAATGGGCGGGACTGCTGACAGGTGAGCACCTCAACAGGTGAGCACTCTGACAGGTGAGCAGCCCTGACAGGTGAGCGGCCCGACTCAACCATCAGACTGAGACAAACACACTGCACGTGGCCTTGATGTCCCCTGGCCGGACTGTCCAGGGTCTGGGACAGTGTCCGAGGGCCTCCCCCAACCCCTGCATTTAGGCCCTCAGGGGAGGCCCCTCCCACAGTCCTGTCGTGAGTGCACCTGCGCAGGAGCCTCTGGGGTGGCCTTCGATGCTCTCCAGCACCTGCCGAGCCCTGCCACCGGCAGAATTATGGAGAAGGGCTCTAGCTGAACCTGCTGCACAAGCGTCTACTTTGCTGGACGCTCTCAAAGTTCCATCACCTCCGCAAGGCTGACTCGTGGGCTGTGTTCCCCGGAAAGCTCGCAGGAATTGCAGTGTTTGCCAGGGCCTAAAATTATAGTCTCCGCCTAGCGAGACAGAATGCAAGAACGCTGAGACAGGATAACTATGCATTTGTGGTCACCTGCGTCCCAGAGGCTGCCTGGCATCTTCCCCGGTGGGCACCAGGCTCAGGGAGGGGGCCATGGCCTCGGGGGAGCTGCCCTCCAGGACCGTCCTGGGCCTCAGGGGTGCTGCTAGGGTTGAGAGGGGCTCAGGGTTCAAGCCCTCCCCAGCCTGCTCAGTCGGGTGGCCCTAGACCAGTGGGGCTGAGGGGGGGTTGCAGGTATCGTGGGGATCCGGCTGCTTCCCAAGGCAGGGGGATCATCACCCCTGCTCTCCAGACCACACCCCAGTGCGCAGCAGACCCCACCCGGCCCCTCCCAGAGCCCTGTCCTGGTCTCAGGGAGCTCGAGAGTGATGCCCGGTCCCTGGCTCACCCCGTTCCTGGGCCTGCAGCACCTTCCTTCCCCAGCCATGTCCCCTGAAATGCGCCCTTGGCCTCACACCCCACCCCCATCCCGTTCTGAGAAACTGTTGCACACATGCTTTCCTGCAGTTGAGGCCCAGTCTTGTTGTCTGTGGCGGGAGGCAGGATTCTGAGGTGGCCCCAGGTCCCAGCCCCCTGGCGTGTACACCCTACCAGATCCTCACCCCCAAATGGGGGGCCAGTCGTGAACGTGACGGATATATGGCCAAGGTGAAGGAGCTGCACAGCTGCACTTAAGGCCCCTAATCAGGTGACTCTGAGTTAACAGAAGGCAGTGTCCTGGTGGGCCTGCCCTAATCCGGTGACCTCGGCGCCCCACCTCACCCCGCTCCAGGCATCCCCGGATCAGGGATAAGGAGGCCGTGGGCCTTCCCTCCCTGAGCTCAGAGACTAGGGGCAGCGGACACCCTCCTGCTGCCACTGGGATTCTACCAACAGGCAGCTCAGAAGGGCCGAGGTCCAGCTGAGACCAAACCTGGCCGAACAGGGAGCCCCCTCTTGCTTGGGGAGCCCAGGCGCTGGCTGAGAGGAGGAAGGGGGGCGACAGGGAGGGAGAAGCAGGGCAGGGACTGGGCCCGGACACCTTGGCCCTTCTGCAGCTGCCGCAGCCTCTGCCTGGGCCTCCCAGCTGCTGGACAGGCGGCCAGTGGCGCCGCAGACGTCCTTCCAGCCTGGCAGGCAGCCTCCTGTGTGCCCCGCGTGGGACGCCCTGGGGAGGGCTGAGTGCCCGGAAGGCAGGCGGCAGCCCTGGAGGGCGCGTCGGAGGCCAGCACGGGGCCAGGTCCTTCACGGCTGCTGAGGCATCCGCAAACAATGCACATTTCAGCCAAACCAACCCGGAAACCCTGGAAAAGTAGCCTTCCAGCGCTCCTCCCGCCTTCCCCAGGCTGGGCATTGGGCACCCTGGGAGGGCCTGGCCCCAGCACCACAGGGCTCAAGCGGAGCCAGGCGAGGGCGAGGCTGGCACTGGGCAGTGCCTGGGTCAGCGTGGCATCCTGGCTGGGGCTGGCGTGTGGTGAGGACAGAGGGGACACGGCTGCCACCAGCCAGGGTCACCCCCAAGGGAGACGCCACCCCTGAGCTCCAGCCTCCCGCTCGTGTATAGGCGCGTATGCACACGTACATGTAGGCACATAGGTGTGCACGTGCACACACACACACAGGCACGCTCACATATGCACACACGCACACACGCACACATGCACACTCAGGTTTCTGGGCCCTGGAAACTTGCCCCTGGTCTTTTGAGACAGAGGCTCAGACCGCTAGGGGACTGTCTCCCCTTGGCCTGCCCCAGGGCTGGCAAAGCAGACCGGAGGGGCCCCAGCTCCAGAAATGGGCACCCAGGAGCCCCCAGGCTCTCGGCAACACAGTGAGGCTGGCGTGGGCCCCCAGCACAGGTCAGCCCAGCCAGGCCTGCGGTGCCCAGGAGTCACCGAGGCTCCCTGCCGGGGTCTGTGGGCACACGAAGGCAGCCTGAGACGCTGGGCCCCAGCCTGGGCCCGACAGGGAGACCCCCGCCCACCCGGGGACCCCCAACTTGGCCTGTGGGCCTCCCCACAAAACCTCCTGGGTCCCAGAACCTCGTCCTGACCTCTAAGGGTGCCAAGGGCAGGAGTGCAGGCAGAGCAGCCCTGGATGAAGGGCCCAGGTGACTGCAGTGGGAACACACGTGGATGGGCAACCTGTGCAGGGGTGACGGGGACCTGCAAAGCACAGACCACGAGGTCAACATCCAGTTCGTGCTCCCGAGGACCCTGGTGCCGGCGCCACTGCGGAGCGAGGGCCGCCTGCCCTCAGCCACCTGCCCCAGGATCCTCGGCTGTGCTGCTGAGACCCCAGGCTGAGTCGGGGGGAACGTTCCGGGTCAGACTTGGGGCCCAAGAACCAGGCTCAGAAGTCCTCCCAAGAAGGGGGGGGAAGCCAGGCCTGTCACCCCTCAGGACGCGGTTGGGGGGCCTAGGTCACCCCGCAGGATGGAGGGGCTCAGCTCATCACATGGACAGGGGCTGCTGGTCCTGGGATGAGGGTGCGGCCCCAGAGGGCCCGTGTCCCTGAGACCGGGCTCAGCCCAGAGCCCAGAGGAGGCCCCCAGACCCATGTGTGCAGGTGGGGGGCTACCAACCACCAGCCCGCCCACCCTCTTTAGAAGGTTCCAGAGGCCCTGCTTTCCAGAGACTGACAGCACCCCACAGTCGGGGTGATTTTATTTCTAAAAAAGGTGACAAGCGCTACTCAGCCCCGGCGGCCAGTGCACACAGGGAGAGGGGCACAGTGAGGCGCGCCGGGGCACTTGCCCACCCTCCGGCACGGAGACCCAGGCTGCTGCGCCCCCAGGGCTGGTGAGGGTGCAGGGCCGGCTCGGGCAGAGGCTCCGGGCCACATGGGTACCGAGGCAGAGGGGCGGCGGTGTCCAAGCGCGGACGCCCCCACATACCCCTAGGATGGAAAGTGGGTGCCCAGGGTGCTGCGTCCTGGGGAAGAGCCGAGCGGACAGCAGGCTGGAACTGGGGCCGTGAGAGTCCCGGAGCCAGGGTGCACCCCCCGCCCGCCTGCCCGCAGGCTCCAGGCGGCAGCAGCCCAGGCTCCAAAGTGGGGGCGGGGGGGGGCGGCGGGAGGCGGGCGCAGGCGGGGGCGGGGCAGGGACGCGGCTTCAGAAGCCTGTTTCGATGCTGAGGGTGCGGCGGGTGACGTGCTCCAGCTCCCCGGACACGTAGTCGGCCATGCTGATGCGGTAGTGCGCCAGCATCTTCAGCATGAGTCGCAGGTTCAGCCACCACTGCTCCAGGGGCATGCGGTGCCTGCGGCGGGGCCGGACGCGGTCAGGGGCGGGGGCGGGGTCAGGGCCAGGGGGCGGGGCAGGCGGGGCCTGCGGCGAGGCCGGGACACGGTCGGGGCGGGGGCGGGGCCTGCGGCGCCTGCGGCGGGGCGGGGCAGCTCCCGGGCCGCCGCCCCAACCTGGGCCCCGCACGCCCCCTCGGGACACCTGGACCTCGGGACCCGGGAAATGTGGAGGCTAGCTCCGGCCCCTGCGCTTCAGAGGTGCCGGGGCCCGCCCCCAGGAGGGGTCGGCAGACCGCGAGCGCCCGCAGACCCGACCGTGGCTGACCCCACCCTCAACTCTCTGCCCCGTCGGGAGGAACAGGGACCCGGGGTCAGCCCTGGGCGTGGGGACCGGGCGGCCCTGTGGGATCAGGGGTCCAGGCAGGTCTGGGCCCGGCGGTCCACCCCTCTCTTCGGAGGGACTCACTCAAAGTCGGTGTCCTTCTTGAGCTCGGTGACGGGGCTGAAGGCCACCGCCTTCTTCTGCAGGCCGATCACGCAAGCTGAGTCGGGGGCGTTGGCGAAGACCCGCCCTGTGGACACAGGCACGTGCCGGCAGCCCCACACCCAGGGCCCTCGGCGGGGACAGGTCGCGCTAGCCACCACCTCCCTCACGCACCCTTGCGGTAGACTGCCCGCAGCTTCTCCGACATCCAGAGTATAGCCTTCACCCCCAGCTTGGTGCCGTAGTTCCGGTCGAAGGGGGTGGGAGCCCCGCCCTGGAAACACAGTGGGTGAGGCCCGGTGTTGGCCCTCAGGGAGGAGCTGGGCCTCAGGCAGCCGAGCCCTGGCCCGAGCCCAGCAACCAGGCACCTGCCGTGACCTCAGGTGAGCCCTGCCCGGCTGACACCTCGTCCCCTCGACCTGCAGCACTCCGGCCCCTTTCTCCGTCCCACCTCTAAAAACCCCTAAAAGCCACCTCCAGAGGCCGGGCAGTGGGCTGCCTACTCATTGACTGGGGGGCCTCCGTGGGCCCCTGCATCCGGCAGGCAGGTCCCACCACCAGTGAGCAAAGGCCCCCGGGAGAGGGGAGCCCTAGGGGTGCACACGGCCCTCAGTCTGCTTGGAACCCACAGCGCGGGCTTCCTGCAGGGCCTCCAGGGGGCCAGAAGGGGAGGGGCTTGTCAGGGTGGAAGTGGCTCCCGGCCCCGCCCCTTCCTCAGGCTGAGGCCTGGGCAGGAGCGAGCCTTGCTCAGGGGTGGGTGGACGAAGGGGCACCTACAGCCAGGTGCCCCATGAGGAGGGGCACAGAGAGGGGTCCTCATCCTGCCACGGCCTCCTGGGACCCGTCGGCCCAGGCACAGCTGGGGGCCGGGGGCCAGGGAGCAGCCCTCCACGGAACCCGTACCTGCTGCAGGTGGCCCAGGACGTTCGTCCTGCAGTCGAAAATGCCCTTCCCCTCGGAGGAGTACAGGTTGTACAGAAACTCCGTGGTGTAGTGTTCGTGGCACTTCTCGTTTCTGGGAAGAAGGGGGTGGGGGCGGCCGGGGAGGCCTCCGGCTCGGCCACAGGCTCTCAGGAAAGCCCGACCCCACCCACTCCTTCCTAAGCCCCCCAGCCTTGCCCCACCCAGCTGCCACCCTGCTGGACCCTGCGGGCTCGCCGGCAGCCTCACCGGAGCACCAGGCCCCTCTGGATGTCCGTCTTCATCTTCTCGGTCATGTGCTCCACGTTGGCCTGTGGGGTGAAGACCTGGGTTGAGCGGAGTCGGGGGCAGCAGCCTGCACTGCACACCCCTTCCCGCAGCCTGAGGCTCTCTGGGAGGGCCTATTCCGGACTAGCCAACAGGTGGGGCTGAGAAGACCCAGATCAGCCTGGGGGCGGGGTGCGGGGACCGGGCTGCGGTTGCTGGAGGGCTGTGTGGGTGGTGCAGGTGTGGGCCTGTGGCTGGACCGTGAAGCCCCGGGGGGAGGGCCGGGGCCAGCCACGGAGGCCACGGAGGCAGGAGCACTGCCCGGTCGGGGAAGGGGTGCAGAGGGTCACGGGCTGTGTCCCCTCGAAGGCAGCGAGGCCCCAGCCTGCTGGGCCGCGGCGGCTTGGCAGGGCCCTGCCTCCTCTGCAGGCCTGCTCCACTGCGTCTCGGGAGGGGCCCCTTCAGCCTGGCCGGGAGAAGGGTACGGGCTCGGCTCACCTTTAAGTCCTGGATGTTGAAGGGGTCCTCGAAGACGTAGGCAGCGTCGGCCCCCACAGCGATGCCGGTCACGGTGGCCAGGTAGCCACAGTAGCCCCCCATGGTCTCCACGATGAACACACGGCGCTTGGTCCCCGAGGCCGACTGCTTGATGCGGTCGCAGCTCTGAGGGCCAGGGTGCGGGTCAGAGCCCTCCCCTCGGACCGCGGGGACCCACGACGCTGCGGGGACCCGGGTCTCTCTCCCAATGCGGCTGGGACAGCCCTTGCCCCACGTGCCCAGGGCACTGGCAGCCCTCAGCACACGCCCTCCACGCGGCCACACGGAACTGGGTCCTCAGCCCAGGCGTTGGTGCCCCCAGGACAAGGTGGGCGTCACCAGCATCTAGTGGGTAGGGGCCAGGGACACTCTAGGAGGCTCTCCCTGACCTTGGACCAGGGACACACTGGCCTTAATCGGCTCACGTGCCAATGGGGGAAGACAGTCTGCCAGGCAGGGTCTTCGTAAATAGGGGCCCTGACGACGTGAAGTGAGTGCTCTGCAGACGCTAATGATAACACAAGTGACGACAATCCTAACTGAACAGTTCGACGAAGTTCAAGCATTAAATAAAGAACTGAGGAAAGAAAGAAAACAGATATGTAGGTTACTGGTGTCTGAACTACGAGGATAGACCCCAGATAACACATGAAGAGCAAAGTGGAGGAAACGGCTGCAATGTTTGGCAAAGGGTCTATAGCCTACATATGTAAACAACGTTTACAAATAAAAAAGAAAACGTGCCCAGAGAAAAATAGGCAAATGGTGGAAAAAGATAATTTCAAAAAAAACCCGACAATTGGGCAATAAACATATAGAAAAATGTTCAACCAGAAATCAGAGCTGCAAATGAAAACCGAACCCTGTCCTCCCTCATCTGGTGAGGGGCAGGGGCACCAGAAGGTTCAGAGGGGCCGTGGGCGACCCACAGCCAGTTCAGATGGGAGGTAAATTCAAAGACAACCCCTGAGGATCATGGGACTCTGGGTCAGGAGATGGGGGGGGTGGGGTCTCCTTTAGCCTCTGGTTTCACTTGTATTTTCTCCTCCATCTAAAAACACGCAGCACTTGATGGAGCAACACGCCCCCTTCCAGCTTCAGATCCCCCCAAGACGGAGATAATGAACCCCTGGGGAAGCTAGGCTCATGTGGGGTTAGAGTCGAAGGTGGGAAAGGTCTAGAGAGTGGGGACAGCGGTGGGGATGCCCCCAGAGAGCTCCTGGTGGCGCCAGCCTGCTGGGACCCCTCCAGGAACCGGGCTCCCAGCTCCCACCCTCCCATGTCCCAGCCGGAGCCCTGGGTTTCCCCTAGAGCCACGTGTGGCTGCTTCACCGGACAGAACCGTGGCCCGACGTCCACACCAGTACAGTAGCTCAGTTAGGTCAGTGGCAGCCTTGACCACCGTCATCATCACACCCTGGTGACCCCAGAGTCACAACCTCCCTGCCATCCTTGAGACCTCGGGGGCAGCCATGTCCTGCCCACTCCCCATGCAGGCCGCCAGCCTCGGTGGGGGCCCCGCACCCCATCCCACCCCTCGGCAGACCCTCTGGGCGCTCTCCCCCCCAGGCGCCCCATCCGCCCACTGCCGGCCTAAGTCGGGGCAGCGGCCCCACGCCCCACCTCCATGGCGGCGTTGACGGCGGTGTCCGAGCCCAGGCTGAAGTCGGTGCCCGGCACGTTGTTGCTGATGGTGGCGGGGATGACACACATGACGATGCACAGCTCCTCGTAGCGCTCACGGGCCTCCACCAGCTGCAGCACCCCCTCGTAGGCCTGCAGGAATCGGGGGGGGGGGGCCGGGCTGCCGGACGAGGCACGAGGAGGGGCCCCTGGGTCCTGCTCCCGGCTGTGTGCCTGGCGATGGGCGTCTGGGCCCACCTGCCACAACCCAGGACCGAGACCAGGCGGGCCCCATCCTGGAGCTCTGCAGCCGCCTTCACTGGGGAAACTGGACTCCAAGGAGGACAGGAAGGAGGCCCGCCCACCCTGCCTTGACCCCAGCCCACTCCATGCAGTCTGCGGGGGCTTGGGCTCCTTCAGGAAAGGGCAAGAGTGGGTATCTGTCATTTACGGGGGCTGACCAAGCCCCAGCATCACACCGACGTGCCCCCCACCACCCAGAACTCCGCCGAGAGACACTCTGGACCACCGCCTCAGCAGCGGGAGGCTGAGGCCACGCGACCCTCCTGCCTGGGCCGTCTCACCCCCACTATCCCTCCCCTGCGGTCAGAGCTGCCCCTGCCTCTCCCCTTCCTTCTCCTCCCCCTCCCCCTCCTCCTCCTCCCCCTCCTTCTCCTCCCCCTCCCCCTCCTTCTCCTCC